TTGTCAACTTCCTCTCCTATGGCCTTCCATCGCTTTGGTGCAAAGTTCCTCTTCTTCTGCCGAACTGGCCTAGAGCTCGGGTCCATGCTTAACCTCTGACTCATCCAGGGGAACCAAGACTAGGCCATTGACTGGTTGGCCTCAACTCGCTAGTTCTTCCTAGGGATCGAGGCCCTCCAGTGATAAGGCCTCCTTATTTTTTCCTTTTAACACTGCCTTGTAGCATTGGCAAGCGATATGTTGGTTCCCATTAACAACTGCGACACCGTGCTCAGTGGGAAACTTAAGGGCCAGGTGATAAGAAGACATGGCTGCCCCTAGTGCATGAAGGGTTGGTCTTCCCATTACTACGTTGTAGGGGAGGCAACCTTCACCACTAGGAACTCAAGCATCCAAGTCACCTAGTGTGGCGCTGTCCCCACCGTGATGGGCAAGGTAATCTTTCCTTCCGGCCTGGTGACACTACCAGAGAAGCCGAGGAGAGGAGCATCAGCTGGCTGGAGCCTCTCTGGCGCGATCTTCATTCTCTCATAGGTGTCATAGAAAATGATGTCGGCTGACGAGCCGCTATCCACTAAAATCTTCTTCACCATGAAATTGGAGATTATGGTTGCGATACGAGGGCATCGTCGAGGGGAACGGTAACCCCCTCTAGGTCCTCATCAGAGAAGATGAGGGCATGTGAACATCTCGGCCTCTGTAGAGTGTTCGAGCCAAAGCCAAAGCTCCACCCGAGGCCATGCCCCCGACGATGACGTCGATGACGCCTGCCACTTGCTGGTGTTGCTGCTATTGCTAGGATGACGAGGCGTCGGCCTCTCTTCCGATGAACTGCTTGAGGTGTCCTCGGCGAATGAGGGACTCTATTTCATTCTTTAGATCGTGGCAGTCCTCGGTGTCGTATCCGGTGCTGCAGTGGTACTTGTAGTACTTCGTAAGGTTCCCCCTCTTGGGTTTTCGCTTCAACTTCGTTGGCCACTTCATGAACTTCTCCTCCCCTATCTGCATCAGAATCTAGATGCGGGTGGAGTTTAGTGGCATGTAGTCCCTATAGGCCAGGGTGGCGGGCTTCTTGTTGTCTTTGCCGCCATTGTTGCCAGGGTGGTGCTGGTCTCTATTTTTCCTCTTCTTCTCCAGGGGCCCGTCGTGGTGCCCGACTGCTCTTGCTTGGTTGTCTACGACCGAAGCCTCTTTGGCCGCGATGTACTTCTAGGCCTTCTTGAAGAATTCGAGTTTCGTCTTCGGCGGGGTCTTGGAAACCGAGCACTTGAGTGCCGAAACGGGGTGGAGTCTGTTGATGGCCGCATGCATGGAGACCATAAGGTCGAGGTCTCGAACTTTGAACTCTTCTTTCTTGAAGCGGTTGATGTAAGACCGTAAGCTTTCGCCCCGCTCCTATTTGAACTACATCAGAGAGACTAGGCTCTTCTAGCATCACCTGCTGCTGATGAAGCGGGCGAGGAACAGGGTTGTAAATTGCTCCCACGAGCTAATTAATCGAGGGGGAAGACTAGAGAACCAACGACGAGTGGCTCCCCTGAAGGTAGCCTAGAAGGTCCGGCACGTCAAGGCGTCAGCATAGCCGTATAGTATCATGAGTGCCCTGAAACCCTCCAGGTGGTCATTAGGGTTAGTGCTTTCGTCGTACGTCTCCAGCGTGGGAGACTTGAAGTGTGGGGGGAGAGGCTCTGAGATGATTTCATGGGTGAATGCATCCATGCGGCTGGCAGAGATGCCATGATTGGTTGAGGTGTCCGCTCGGTTCTCCTTAACCTAGGGGAGCTCGTCCGTGATGGCCCCAATCTCGGCTCGCAACTCGGCGATCCCTGGGTCGACACGGGCATGGGCCCTACTCATGTCTTCGCGGACCCGATGGGCGTCAGCTCAGACTCCCGAATACTCCGAGGCAGGGTTGCGGGCGCGACGGTCACTCAAAACATCCCTGAGGTCGGTGACGAGAGGTGGAGTGGGATGGCGTCGACTCTCGCCTCGGGAGTGAACTCCAGGGCGGCCGAACTGCCTGCCATCATCCTAGGGGACCTCCCTACAACGACGATGGTGTTGCTCCGAAGATTGATGACTGTCTCCGGATTGAGCGGGCGCACCCTCCCTTCGTCTCGAAGGACAGACATTCCTTCGAGGTGAGTCCGGGAGGCGGTTATTGCTCGATTCTTATGGTTCAGCCAGTAGATTACCATGGCCGAGGGCCAGTATTTCGATGTTCTGACGCTAACCCTAATCCTCTAACACCCCAGCAAGGCAGTCGCCTTGAGAGGGACCTCCTGCTCGGGGGAAAACTTCTTCCATTTGTTGGGTGAGGCGGTCCAATCGATCAAGAACGACTTGAAACTGTTCATAGGTAACTAGGTTTGGGGTGTTCCTGGTTCTCCTCACCATGGCTTCCAAGCTTACGGGGATTTTGGATCTTAAATTGTTATTATTGTTTATCCTGAAGTGGGGATCCTCGTAGCAACCACGCTCCCATAGACGGCGCCAGTTGTTGCCACTCTGTTTGGCCAAAGGCGGCGAGGTAAATTTACTCTTCATGTTTCGAGAGTTATCCGAGGAACCTGAGGCTCCGGAAGAGGTTAACCGAAGCCGAGGACAACAAACCGAGGCGAGGACTATGGTTGCCGAGGACTACTGGCTAAGGCAAGGTCCCTGGTGACCTGAGGCACTGCGAGAGAGAGAGAGAGCGTCAGAAGCCTCGGGGTGGATACCCGAGGCGAAGGCTTCAACCTCAAGTTAGTACGAGGTGTGAAGCTAGGGAGAATGTGGGAGTGCTCCTGGAGAAAGTCCTCGGATGCACCGGATCTCCCAGAATTAATGTCTGGTAGGTAATGTGCGTGCAGGAAGTAAATGAGTGAATAAATGTTGGAGTTACTTTGTTCTAACCCCTTTTCAGGGGCAGTTACCTCTTATTTATACTCGAGCGTGCTGGTGGTAGGTAAAGATGAGCACCTCGGATGAGAGCCATACGAGGTCAGATTACAGACCCTGGCGGTACGCTAAATAGTTAAGTGATTGGTTCCGTACGAAGGCAGCAGGGCTCTCGCCTACTGTGGCTAACGTTAGCAAGCGTTAGTGGGCTGGGCCTTCTAGCCCTATGTGGACTAGGCCAGGCTGACCCACATCATTTATGATTTTAGTTTATTGATCAGTTGGTTTTTAGATATGTTCCATATCATATTCAGAACCCATTATTTTAATAGTCTAGTGGTGAAGAATAATTACATCAACGTTTCTCACGTAAAAAACTAATAGACGAGTTGCACCATTTTGTAAACGCTAAGGAGATCGTGCTGTTGGCCGGGTGTTTGGACCACATGATTTTAAGCAAGGGCAATTTGGTCCTTCAGGCAATCAACTAAACTGCTTTATTTTGTTAAAAGCCCAAAACACTTTGGGAGATTTTGATATTTTTATTATTATGTATAACTAGATTTCAGAAAAAACATGGGCCGTTTTAAATTTAATTGATATAGACCAATACATACCATTAGTATCAGTCAATAACAACTGATGGATGATGTCTTGTAGGCATGGGAGGAATTTTGTTAACGTTGAAGCATTCTACTTGTGCCACGTCAACCCCTATATTAGAAATTTAGTATCAAAACCTTCACTTGTTTTCTTATATAGTTATATGTACTTTTTTAGAAGTTTTCTTATATGTATATACCTTGTTGAGCATCATCTGAGATTTTGATTTAATTTTTCTTATATGTATACACCTTGTCTCTTAAAATTCTCTTATAATATTTGCATTTCTTATATATTTGTGTTATATATTACAGGATAGGGACAGAGTAAAGTACACATGATTTCGACTAACCAAGTGAGAGCCTACATGCCTGGAGGGATGCCGAGTGAAAAAATGAAAATCACAGCTGGTGTCATCTACAGTTTGTTTCTGATACTTTCTACCTCAGAAATTGTTAAAAGTGTCTGCGGTATCATACCATAAAAACATCAAGCATCCAAAATTCTAAAACTATATAAAGTGTGCAAGTTTGGAAACAGAAGAAAAGCCCTCTTGCGTACATCTGAATTTTTACAGCCTATCAAAAATGTATTCCAACAAATACTTAATGGGAACAAAATGAATACATTTGCACAAATTCCCAAGCAATGTGCTTATTGTGATCAAAAGTGTCTCCAACCTCACGAGTGAATAATTTAATTTCAGCCACAGGAGGGTGTAATGAAGAGATTAACCGAATGACAACCCCAGGCTCGTAAGACATTTGCATGCATCTTTAAACACGAGAGCGTGAAATATAGCCACCACCCTATATGGTTATGCAAAACTAAGGATGTTGAGATCTGCGAAACCAAGGCCGCAACTGCGTCTAGGAAATCAAGGTGACCCCGTCACCCCGGGAAATAGTTGCGAGATTTTATTGAAAACGTCCATGACCTGCGATTCAAGACAATAGTAAACAAATAGATGAGAAACCAAAGCAAACCTGTCATTAACTTGTGAACAACCAATCTGATATCTTCCTTCTAATAGTCTTCTTGTTTCTGTTAACGTGTTGGGTTACAGTGTTCAAGTTTTCCTACCATCCATGGACTAGTACAGATACTATTGACAATTTTGATTTGAGGGTCACTTCAGTTTTTGGTTTCCTCCATGCCATCTTTTGTGGAGGTTACTTCAATATTCTACTTTGTAAACATAAGTTGGCTTCCCATACGTATGCATTGTTGTACGGTGGGATCCATTCTAATAATCTTTTTTGCTTTGACACTGAAGAATGCCACCACCCATTACCATGTCCCTAAAATATCAATTATGAAATACTTGGATGCCGTTTTCTTTTACTTGTATAATCAGATGAAATTTACACAACTCTAAGTGGAGGATGAAGGAAAGTTATAATGAAAAGACTATAATGCCCATAGTTGTCAAGGCATTGCCTAGGCACTTTTAAAAGAGCTGTCTCGCCCAAATGCCAGGAAAAAAATGTTAGGCACATGCTTAGGGGACTGAAACAAATATATAATATTTATTAAATAAAAATAAATATAAAAGTAAGTTGTAACTCTAATATATTGTTTTGCCTATTTGAACCAACACTGCAAGAAACACAAGCACAAAAGTAAGTGCAGAACAAATAAAACCAAAAAAACTAGTTCAGAAGGGGTAGAAGCCATCGGCTTCTTATTTTTAAATCCCATCGCCTAGGTGAGGGCTAGGCATCTGGGTTCCCCATGGTCCCCTAGCCTCACCTTGGAGCCTTGAAAACTATGATAATGCCCTAGATTATATATCCCAAAGCATCTCTTGAGCATACATTATCATGCATGCCCAGCTTGCTATTAACAATGTTGAGTTTTGGAACTCTTTTGGTAAAACCATCTGCTAGCTGAGTCTTGGACTTGTTTGACATATGGAAGACAAACTTTGCCATTAGCCACCTTTTCCCTGATATGCTTTATAAGATCATTTTCCACTAGAACCTGAGCAATATTGATTGCAGTTTGATTATTACAATATAGACCCATAGGACTGTCAAATTTAATTCCCATTCAATAAAGTTTTGAGCCACAAACAACTCTGACATTCTATGAGCCATGGATCTATAATTCAGATTCTACATTAGATCTTGCAACAAACTATACACTTAAATTGAAGGCTTTTGCCCAGCCTTAACTATGTGGGATAGCTAGTAGTTTTGCCATTGTTGGCTCTCCATACCAAATAGGTCCAGATTAGATTGCCAAAATATCTCCATTGCAGCTTCTGAATACACCACCAATCCACAAAGATCTAGGACCTCACAAACTAAGCCATAAAAATACATCTTGAAGGTATTTTGTATTGGTAGTTACCAAATTAACATTGTAGGGCTCCTTGATGATGATGTGTTAACAACGGAATGCCAACTTCTGTTGATATCATTAGTTTAAATTGATCAAATACATGCAATGATTTTACTCAAACTCAATGAACCACTCTAACCATATAAGTCTCAAAAATAGATTACTTGGATTGCCCATTATACTTGAAAATTCTAGTCTTTCACTCTTCCAACACAGACCATAAAATTGCAGCCGTTGTGTGTAAAATATTGCCCCAATTGTGTGGGGAGAAGAATATGAATGAAAAAGAAGCATGAGAGAAGAGTTATGAAGGAAGGAGGGCTGGAGGAGAGCACAGAAAAAGGAAGCATGATAGAAGAGGTCAGACTTATAAAGGGACCATTCCAAGAACACTCGAATTATGATCCAAAAGGAAATTCTAGAAAGACCAACGAGTTCAGTAGAAGCAGCAATTTCACAATCCCTCAAACCCCTTCTGAAGTCAAATTTCTACAGAAGCCCCTGTTCCAACAATGATAAGCAGTGAGAAAAATAGACTTTTATTGATCGCCAAATAATAAAAGGCTAGTAAATCAATCTTTCAACAGCTGGTTGCCCCACCAAGAATCTATCCAAAATTTAATCTAATCACTAGAGAAAACCTCTTATTGTAAGTTGAGATGGGGAAAATAATTTTCCAAGGAGAAGTGTCAGTAGCTCGGGAAGACAAGTTCACATTCCAGCCAGTGAGTAAAAAGGCCATGAATAATACTCTTGAACACAACATGCCACAGTTTACTAGGCTCCAAAGGGAAACACCACAGCCACTTCTCAAGAGAGAGGCGGGTTTCTAAGAAGCCTACCCATCCCTAACCCTCCTTAACATTTACTATTACAAACCTCTTTCCATTTCATGACATGATCCCTCTTTGAATCCATAGGCTCCCAGAAAAATGTCTCATAATCTTCTCAAAATCTTTTAGCCATAATAGCACGCAAGCATTTTAAATACAGAGAGATAGTACACAGGTGTCTATCCAGTTAAGAGCCTACACAAGACATTTGGCCAGTGCACTTCCCAAGAAGCTGGAAAGATGTACTATCTAATTAAGAATGTTTCATCTTGGAAGTTGGCCTACATGAAGCAACCCACGAGAAGATTTTAGATCACAACTATTGATAAGGCCATTAAAATTATTCATGCTGGTTGTGGTCCTTTGATGAGGAATGTTGGTCTCCTTGGTGAACCTTGGAGCATTGAAATCTTCTCCTAGATACCATGGTCCATCCTTGTCCCATAACCCTTTAATGGAAAATAGTTCATCCCAAGTTTCCTCTCTTTATCTATAGATGGTGAGCCCATACATGTTGGTAACCTCACATACAAAACCATCAATGGTGTTTCTTAAATTCATAAATATTGAGAATCATTCCACCAGTTCCTCACATTCATAGTGATGTGTGTGCCATATGGAAAACTATCCTAAATTCTTGGAGCTCAAGAGAACAAAATGAGGCAACCCAAAATGACAAGAGTTTTTTTATTACCCTAGAGGCAATCCAAAATGAGGCAAAGGACCATCCTAAATTCCTTGAGCTCCAAATGCACCTAATCCATCTATCATCAAATTCAGCCAATTTTGTTTCCCGTAGCAGGACAGTCTCCAGCTTTCATTCCTTATGGCCCAACCTATCATTTATCAGCACTGCCAAGTCCTGGACATTCCAACTTAAAATTCTCATATTATAATTCTCCCCTCAACCCAAACTCCTCTCATCACTTCCCATTGCTTTATTCCATTGGAATCTGAATGGATGCAAATAATAACCCTGAAAACAATATGCAAAGGTTACTAAAATTCTCATATAAACCATATCCTTTTATATATGGATACCAGTGTTTCAAAAGGCATGGGAGGCACGTCTCCAGGCGAGGCGCCCCCAAAACGCCCTGAGGCGCAGGCCAGAGGCAATGACATCTCTGAGGCAAACACCTCGTACGCTTTTTTCACGAGGCATGCTTGAGGTGTACGCCTCATACAGCTCATGCGCACCTCATATAAAGAAAAGGAAAGGGAAGGGAAGAATAGACAAGGGGATAGAAAGTGGGTCGGGGGCTCTGCCCCTGGACCCCTTGGCTGGGGGGCTTCGCCCCATAGACCCCTCAGACCCCCCCTTTTTTAATGCAGCCCAACTAGTGTTTTTTTTTTGATGAATAATAATAAGTTTATTGATTCAGAAGCAAATTTAGAGTGAGTTCATACATCATCCCAACGAGAGGCGCGAGCTGCAGCCCCTCCTTGAATCTTACAAGTAAACTAGGAAAGAAAAACAAGAATCACAACTGAGCCCAAAATAATTCTTCCCTATTTACCCCTTG